CCACCGAATGAGGTGGTGTAGGATTCTTAATGTAATGACAGTACTATCAATTAGTAAATAAAGTCTCGCATTTTATGTTTATTCGCAATAAAAAAAAAAAAAAAAAAAAAAAAAAAAAAAATTTTAATTTTTTATTTATTTTAAATTATTTAAACAATTTTTATTATATTAAATATATATTTTTTTAAAAGCTCTAGTCTTGAGCTACATAATAATTATAAAATAAAAAATATATATATTGGTTTTTTATCAAGTTATTTTAGTTTAAAATTGAATATTCAATAAATGAATTTGTAAAAACAATTTTATACTTAATATTTTAATTAATTCTATATTAAAAAATAAGATATTAGTTACAGGTGATAAAAATTTGAATAAAAATCATTAAATCAAATATGTTTAGTAAGAGCTATATAAAAATAAATTAAAATCTAAGCAAAGATATTAGTTTAATAGATAATAATAATATGATTATTATGTTATACTAAAGATATATCTTAAAAATCAATAATAACAAGTAATTAGAATAATTAGAATTAATTTTTATAATAATATTTTATATAATTTTTTCTTGATAAGCAATCAAAAAATATAATTGAATTAATAGAAAGAATAGATTTAAACTAGTAATATAATTTCTTTTTCTTATATAAGTCTCATTTGAATATAAATCTATCTATAAGATTCCAAAAAGTATCAAACTAGTATCAAAATAGTATTAAAATGATACTGATATATAGTAAATTTAATATATGGGTTGTAACCTACTCATATAATTTTATAATAAATTTAAGTATCGAAGTGGTATCGAAGTGGTATTGTTAGGAGCCCTACCTATCTATAAGATATAAGTTAATTAATTAAAATAATAATTGAATTAACTTAAGAGAAACCAGTAATATTGAAATAATATTCATTAGATAATATTAATTTATATCTAGAATAGCAATAGTTTAACTTGTAAAGATGTTTGATATAATGGTAGAATATTAATTATTAATAAAAGTCTTGTATTTAATATTCTTGATTAATTAAAAAAAAAAAATTAATAAAGTTAAAAATTTAAAAAAAATACATTAAAAAAATATATAGTTAATAAGAAATAAATATAATAAATAAATAAATAAATAAATAATAAATACTTTTTAATTTATAATTATCAAATATATAAGTCTTATAAAAAATCAATAATAATATATACTGTATATATATATATATATATTTTTAATATATATATATATATAAGTTTTAATTTGTTTATATTTCTTTAAATATTTTTTTCAAATATATTCTTATCATATAATTAACAAAATATTATAAATATTAGTTATTTTAACTTAATATTATTTTATTTATTTATTTTATTTTAAAAATCAAAAAAAAAAAAAATTGGATAAAAATAATAAAATTATATTAAATAACTGAATAATTATTTTTGAAGGTGACAAAAATGCTAAATATGATTTTTTCGAATCCAACTTTTAAACGATACATATATAGTATAAATTTTAGGATCACGCCAGAAAATTCCCGGTCCGCCTTCGAAAATAATCACCCAACTGTTAAAAAAAGCAATATTTTTATTTTTAAAAAATTTTTAAATTTGTAAACAAAATATTTTGTTAACTAATTATAATCTAGGTTTAATATAATGGATTATATTCTTAATAAATAAACATAATCTGAGAAATAAAAAATAATAATAATAATAAATTATTATTTTATAAAATGCATATAATTATATAGTTTAAATATATATATACTATAATTATAACAAATTAACAAAACGGGAATTTGCGATATGGTTCAATAATCAAATGATAAATAAGGGGTCGCGTGAGGATCTGTGCATAAAAAAGAAAGTTAAATGACGGTCGATTACAATTATTTTAGTTAATGCTCACAATACCCATATTTATATATATATATAGAAAAAAAAAACCTGTAATTTTAATTGTAAATAGAATGGCTTCAATCTTAAATAAAATACTTGGACTCTTCAAAACTAAAGATAGGGAAGACGTTCAAATCCCATACAATTTTGAGAAACGTTATCGAATCTTAAAAGTTATTGGTACAGGGTCTTTTGCAATTGTAAAGGAATGTGTAGACAAGACAACTGGTAAAAGTTATGCCTTGAAGATTATCTCCAAAAAGTCCATTAAAGGTGATTCAGTATGAACATATATGCTATTGAAATCTTGCGTAGAGCAATATTTATTATATGATATTTAACCAGTGAACTTTACTAAAAGGAAAGGAGCAAATGCTGGCTACAGAACAAAAAATTCTTGAAAAAATTCACCATCCAAATCTTGTAACGTTGGTTGATTTTTTCGAAACGAAGGAAGGCGTCTTCATTGTAACCGACCTAGCAAGAGGTGGAGAGTTATTTGAACAACTTCAAAATAAAAGGTCATACACAGAACAAGATGCAGCCAATTTAGTGCGACAAATCCTGGATGGTGTATCGTATTTACACGATAATGGTGTACGTCAAGGTTTAATAATAGTATATTGGGAGATATATTTTTTAAAAATAATTAATGTGTTTTACTATATCTAGATAGTTCATAGAGACTTAAAACCAGAAAATTTGCTCTTTAAAGACAAATCGGAAGATTCAGAGCTCCTGATAACAGATTTTGGCTTGTCGAAAATCTTAAAGAGTAATAACGACATTTTGTTAACTGCCTGTGGTACACCTGGGTATGGTAACGCGATCTGATTATCAAATATATACTTTCATATTACTATTTCTTATAAACGTTGCTTTTGTTTAGGTATGTGGCTCCTGAAGTGCTTACACAAAATGGTCATGGAAAACCAGTAGATATTTGGAGTATCGGAGTAATTACATATACCCTGTTGTGTGGATATCCACCGTTTTATGGTGAAGATCAAAATTCGTTATTCGAATCCATTATGAGTGGTGCATATGAATATGATGATTATGAATGGTTAGATATATCAAGCACAGGTAACTATTTTAATTATTATCACAAATTTATCTTTGAATGGATTTTGTTAACTTTCGAACACTCAATGATATAATTACAGCAAAAGATCTAATTGACAAAATGTTAACTCGAGACCCTTCAAAAAGAATTACTGCAAAAGAAGCACTTCAACACCAATGGTTCAAAACAGCAACCACTGTTGATATTCTTAAAACTGTACAAAATAATTTAACAGCAAAGGAACGATTTAGGAGAGCCATCCATCTTGTTAAAGATATCAATCGTTTTCGCAACCTTAATAGCCCTACCGATCAGTCTGAAACAGTTGACCAAGAACACACTAATGTTAATAATGAAGGAAATGGTAATTAATTAGTTTACTATATAATAAACTTTATTTTTTGTGTAATTAGTATTAGTATTTATATATAATTTATCAATATAATCACTTCAAATCTTAACATACTGTATACATGAGGGATATATGATGTCATGCATTTTGATTATGAAAAAATGGTTATCTGTTTATTTTGGCAAAATGGTTATTATAATTAAGATCTGAAAATTTTATTGATTTTTATAATTATTATATTACTAAAGTTTGCTTTCACTTGATCAAATAAAAACATGAAATTATTAAAGTAATGTAAGTGTTTTATAATTATTGTATTGTGACAAGTAATCAATTAATATTGGTTTAAAAAATTATTTAAAAATCTTTATACAAACAATTTCTTAATATGTATAATTAAAGTTGTATTTATATACATTTTAATTGATTTTAACAATTTATAAAAAATATTTTATTATATACAGTATGTGTAGTTTGAAACAAAAAAAAACATTATTTATATTTTAATATTGTTAAATAAATAATTTTTTAATTTTTTTTTAATGCAAAGCATTTTTCAAGCTTGTTTTTTATTAATTATTAATTAATTTTTACAAATAAAAATATATAAAATTATAAAAAAAAAACTCCCTTTCATCATAACTTTTTTCTTAAAAATTTCTTTTTATAGTAATTTTTTCTCAAAATTAAAGAAACTAATATTTTTTTTTGCCTTTCAATACTTAAAAGTCTTATATATCTCTTTTATCTTTATTATAAGAATCTTAAGAAAACCAATGAAGCATACTGGTGTATCAGGATGGAATCTTTGACCAAAAAAAAGCAAATTTGAAGCTTTTACTTTTTTTTTTAATTGTATAAGGAAAGATCTATAACAATTACTACTTTATAAACTTTTCTTGGAGGTTTTTCTATTTTTACTTCTTATTAATATACACTTTTTTTTAAATAAATAAATTTTTTCTTGAAAGACTGTTCTTTTATTTCAAAAATTAAACATTACATCAAAATTGTTTATACTATTGACTTAAGGCACCAGCAGTATATTCAATATCTATTTCTTAATATCATTCAATACATAATGTTGTATTACAAAAACTCAAAAATTTTTATACAAAAAATTTCTTATCAAAAACTATAATCAATTTATTTCTGTTTACTGATCAATATTCCAAACTTAATCAATTAAATATTATTAATTTTTTAAATATATTATTATAATCAAAACATTATACACTAATTGATATAAACAAAATCTTTTTTGATAACAATAGTTAAAACAAAATCACATTATTAACAAACAAATTAATTACTAATTATATTACAACAACAACAATACTACCATTATAACCAATTATTATTAGTAAATTTAATATAGCGGAGATCTCTGTTTTTATTAAAGATCTTCAAAACAAAGATTATATATATATATTTTGAAGTACTCTGTTTTTTCTAAAAAACTTTGAAGATTTATATTTTATTATAATATATGTTTTATTATTATATATATTTTTATAATAATTAATAATAAAATAAATAATTTTATGTTTTAAAATGTTTTATTAAAATTTATTTATTAATAATATATAAAAATTGGTTTAAAATAAATATAATTACTATATTATTTATATTTATTTTCAAAGTATTTTATATTAATTTACTTTTCTGCAATGTTTCTTGGATTATGATGATATTTTGTTTATTGTTAATACTATTATTATTATTAAAATTTAATAATTCTCTATAGAAGATTTATTTTTTTTTTAGCCATGAAAGAATCTTTGAAAACCTTAAGGTTGGATTGACATATGATAGTATATAGCATACTAGTTGAATCTGATTATTCAGCAGTATATCATTTGTCAATTATTTGGTATACAATAAATAATTTGTCAAGTATTTGTCAAACATTTGGCAATAATTCAGCATATTCAATTCAACAATAATTGCTAAATTGTTGATGAATATTTGATATATTGTTTTGTAATTTTTTTTGTAACATTGTAAAATTTAATAAAATTCTTTAAATTATTTTATAAAAAATTCAAATTTATCTTGTTTCTTAATATTTTAAGTTTTATCAAATTTTCTTTAATTTGAATTATATTATTTTCAGAATTTAAAATTGTTTTATATATTGATATTGCAAAGACAATATACTTGTTAAAAGTTTCTTCTTTAAACTACACTTTTTCAAGAATTCATATTATTTAAGTACTTTTATATATACTGTTTTTAAAAAATTTCTTTAAAACACTTCCCAATTTTTGATAAATTTTTTTATGCTATAATATTGACTGAATTATTAAGGTCAGAGTATCACAATTTAATTAATATTGTTTTAAAAAATTATAAACAAATATATTTAGTATTTAATTTTTTTTGAAGTATTATACAAGTTTCTAAAACTTACTAATTGGTAAATACAGTATATTTTTCATAATATATTTTTTAATGTTTTTGTAATAGACCATTAAAGAACTCTAAATATTTATGACTAAAAAAACCCTTTGCTTTTTTATAATATTCTTTTAATAAACTGTTTCTTTATAATATTTTGACTATATGTTAAAAAAAAAATTGATTAAAGTTTTTAAAATATTCTAAAGAAATTAATATCTTTATAAAGTCTTATCCTATAATGATATTATTTTATGAATACAGTTTATTTTCCAGACAGGTAATTTTATTTTTCAAGATCTTTTGGCAGTTAATTATAGAGTTAACCTTTTTTAAGATTGGAGAACTTTGCTGTAAGAACTTCAAGAGACTTTGTCAGTGCTAAAGAAATTTTGATTAATATTGATTTAAAGTTTATTTAATAATAATATAATATATCTAAAAATTTTTAGTTTTCTTTCCAGGACCATAGTTGTCTATTTACTATATGAATATTTTTGAACCCATTTCAAAAATTTTTACAAGCTTTTGTGACCCTTCTGCTCTTTTATATGATGTTGTTTTTTAAATATTTTCAACATTTATTGGATTATTTTTGAATTTATCAAATTTTTTCAAATATTCTTTACTAGAATTTTATTCTTTTAATTTTTTTTTAGAACCTGTAATTAATGTATTAAATTTATTATACCTATCTTGTTTTTGTTTAAACATTTTTTTTAAAAAATGAGAATTTAGGAATCTTATATAAAAGAAATTTTTAAAATATAATTATAAAATATTGTTATATATTATAATTTTCTTTATAATTTTTTGTCATAAATTGTAATTTCTATATTTAAATTAAATTTTTTATTGACTAAAATTATTTATTTTTTATTGATTAGAATTAATTTATAATCTTTAAAGTATTTGAAGTTCATTAAAATGTCTTATACTGTAAATATTTATTTTGTAAAAAAATCTTTTTAAGATATTTAAATTATTCTAAATATGTTAATAAATATATATTGATAGTTGAATCTAGTGATAAATCTAATGAAAGCTTAAATAAGTTTCAAGTTTTAGATATATTTAAATATTTTGATAACTTTTATAGTATTTCAGAGGCCTTTGAAATTGAAGCAGTTTGTAATTAATTTTTATATATTTTATTTAATTTTTTATTTTAATATTAATTTTTTTAGATAACTTTAAATACTTTTGAAAGTTTTAATAAAATCTTTTTAATCTTTGTCAAATGCTCAAATACTATAGCAAATCTTTTCAATAATTATAAAGAATCAATTAAATCTTTTGCTATTGCAAAATATTTTGATAATTTTTTCAATGAAACATACGCAGATTTAATAACATGTGTTATAAAAAATAGATTAAGTAATTTAACAGAAAATCAAATAATTTCTTTTTTTAATAAATATTTTAATTTGGCAATTAGTCCTTTACCAAAAAATATTCAATAAGAACATATTTTTATGAATAATATGAAACAATCAAATTTAAAATATTGCAAAAAATGTATTTTAAATTATAATAATATTGAATATTTCTTATATTATTTATTATTGATTAATTGTATTAAAAATATTTTAAAAATTTCAGAAATTTTTCAATATTTTGTATTAAACTTCAAAGAGTTATACAATTAAATAGAGGTATATAAATTTTATTGAAATTTAATATTATTAAATATTTATTAAATATTTTTCTTTTAAAGACTTTTATAAAATCTGTTTATAATAAACAAAATAATAGAATGTGATAAAGAAATACAAAAAAATCTTTACCATTTGATTTCAAATTATTATTAATTATTTTATATTCAAATATAATTAATTGTAATACTTTAGAAAAAAGTTCATTACATTCTATATATATTATACTAAATAATACCAATATGAAGGTATAATAAATCTAATATAAAATAATTATTGGAATATTTTTTAATAATAAAATCTAAAAGTATAACAGAAAAACAACCAACAAAATCAATATATTATTAAAAACTCTTCTAATCATATCTATTTTGTTAAAAATTTTTCTTTTATAATAATTTTAAGCAAGAAAAAATGTTTTATACTTTTTATCACAAGTAAATCTCAGCTTAGGAACTCAAGAATCTTCAAGACAACAGGTGCAGTGGGATGGGACCTCTGATCAAAGTTTACTCAAGTTTGGGAATCTTGCTTATCCTTCGGTTGCATGAGGAAAAGCCCATGTCAGTTTTCTTTTCTTTTGTTCTCTTGCACCCTCCTTACCTTTACTTTATCCTAAAAACTATCTATATTATTACTATCATATTCGTTAAACAAAATACTTTTTAAAACACGTACTCAAACAGAGTTAATGGGTCTACTGTTTGTTTCAAGTTAACTCTCATACACAATATCTTCATAACAATATCTGCTGTGCTATTTTCAATTTTCAAAAATTTTTCACCTAAAAAACTGAAATCAGTTTATCCTCTCAAATTATTAGTGCTCTTCAATCATTCAATCAGATTTCACTTAAAGATCAAAACAAAACTCAAACAAGCTCAAACTGGTTTATATCACAATAACAACAATCACAACAACAATATTAACCACACTATCACTGACAACTACAACAACAAACAATG